CAGAAGTAATTAAACTGAGTTCACTTTGGCATGCTAGAGACACACGCATGAATTCCAACTATAATAGCCATAATAGCTCTATTTGTTGATTACTATAAATTCACAAAAGGGGAGGGGGCATTCAATTTCACTCAGAGGGCAAGAGGCAGGCAGAGGGAATTAGTGGAACCAAGAACCAGTGTTTGTACAACATATCCTGGTGATAATGAGGGATATAACATCACTAGCCCCATCTAAAAATCTCAACAGCCTCCACACATAATTAAATTATGGGACACACATAGATTAATTTCAGCTGTAGAAATAATACCAGTACAGGCAGTATTCCTCCCTGGAAACAGAAGGAATACATGCTCACAGAGTACTGCTATTACCTGCACAAACCATCGCAGATTTGGAGAAAGCTGTGATATCACTAGAATTTAAAAAGCAAGGCAAAAAAAATTAGTCAAATACTGAATGTGCTAAAAAGGCAGGTTTATATCAAACAATTATCTGCTTCTCAGAGAGAGAGAGAATATGAGAACTCCCCAGGTCTGCCTTGCAGGTTCAGTGAAGGACAGCGTTTCACCTACCAGTTTTCAGATGTGTTTTGTACGCTAGGATTTTCATGCGTAAGTAGGAATCAAAGAATGGCACTTGAGAATCATCCGCTTGTACATGATTACCAAAGCTGTTAAGACTGACATCACAGCAGTGCATATTTGAGATGGAAATCCACAAGGGGTGTAAAAAGCCTTTGAAGACAATGTCCATCAATTAATTGCCTAGTGCTTTAAGGCAATAACAACAGGGGAGAATTCCCAAGTTGACACTTCAGTAAATAGATGTGAACCTCCAACTCAGATTGTACTTAAGACTTTATAGATCTAATAGAATTAGTGATTTTTATTTTTTTTTCAAGGCTTTGACCAATGCAAGATTTGAACTTTCACTGCCTCTGGAGTCACCAACCTGCTGACAGATCAGCACAGTAAATTCAGGGAACAGACTTGCACTACAGCAGCCGGTACTAGAGTTTGACATGCACCATCGATCCCCTCTTCCCTCTCCTGTTCCTCCTGCACAGCAACACAGGCTCCAGTCAGCTCTTAACTGCCAGCCCCCTCAGTTTATAGACTTCACACACTGGAAGAGAGCCATGGATGGAAGGCTAGAGAGGGCAGTGGCTCCTTCAGTCCTGCTCACTGAGGCATCTTGCAGCAGGCACGCAGTACCCTGGCTCAGGAGAGACTGCAGCACTGCCCTTCCAAAAAAAATGAGCTGGAAGTTACATGAGACAAGGTGCCCTGAAGGATTTTCTTACCTAACACACAGAAACAGTCAACCCATATAACCATCCCAGGTTACTAACCGTACCTGTCCTTACCAACAATTACCTCAAGATTTTTTTTTTTAATTACATTAGCCACATTATGCACTACCTCCTAACCACCTTAACCCTTTCATCATGCTTTCACCACTGTTTAGTTTATAATTTTAGGAATCACTTAACTTTTGATTCTGAAGATGTAAATGCATGTAAAAGTAAGCTTGTGGAAGCCTTCCCCAGCTCAGGATCGTAAGATTATGGATTCCATGCAGCGGCTGAGCTCCATGCCCATCGTGTGTCATGAATACCCTTGTCCCTCTATAAATAACCGGCCTGAAATCCTTTAGAGCTGATGGAAGTGTTCAATTTGCAGGGGAAGAAAACTGTGTTGCTAAGGAACTGCAAAGAAGAAAAGGCCAGAGAGTGGTAATCTGAAATGAAATGAAAGGAATTAATTTAATTGGCCCTTGATATGTTGGGTATTTGGCATATTATCAGCAATTTAGCAGGCTGTAGGTTTCGTTTCAAACTTAGGCTGAAAGAATAATCAGAACACAATTGCACCCTTAATTTAGGGATTGGCTGCATTCTCTCTTCTTCATACGACAGATCCTGTCCACTCTTCAGTCAAAATTTTAAAAGCAAACCACGTGAATATCAGTTTGAACTACAGCTATGCCTACAGTTCTGGAGACTCCATTTTTTTGGATGAAGGCAAAGGGTAAGGATTTTCTTCACATTTACTCTCACTAGTAGACCAACAGGTGTGCTTTGCCAGTAAGTACTGGCTTTCATGTTTTGCTGATTTTGGCAGAGATCTCAGCAATGCACTAAACCAAATACTATTTCATGGATTTTTGTTTTGCAACATTTTCATTTCAGGAAAATATTTTTAATTGTTTACAATCATTTAAAAAAAAGACTTCATGAGGTGGAAGATTTTTCAAGCTCTTTCTCAGCTGAGAATTTCAGTTGTTTTAAAAAGCATTTCCTTTTCTTTCTTCTTTTTTGAAACAGATCTTTCTCTAGTGAAGCTTTTTTTCCTTCTTCTTTCACCTTTTTCCTTCAATTTACTTAAATAGAAGAGAGTTACAACTGCTAAGATTACACCTCTGGCATGTTTAGCAACGCCTTTACAATTTGTTACACATTTTCCAGCACTTCACTTAAGTATCACAAATGCCTGGAGTTTAACATTCCCAGAGCCAAAATTCCAGCACTTCAATTGTTCACGTTCTACTTTAACTCACAAGATGCTAGGTATCAAACTGACAAGCCCACGTTCTTCCTTTCTTACTATGATTTTAGGGGCTATATTGTTGATCGCTGTCTGACTGATGAGTAGACTTTGCCACATGAAGGTACCCCATAAAATAACAAAATAACAACATATAACAATAACAAAACTGTCACACTTTTATGCAACAAACAACAGGCTTTCATGAGTGGTTTACAAGGAACTGACTTACCAATCAAAATGAGGTGTGTGACCCACCTACCTTCTCCTTCACACTCACCATTACCTCCTTACCTGTGCATTCCTAGATCTTAATTTGGTTGGGTCTTACTGGTTGAATTTATTGGTTTTGTAATGCCTCGTTGATGAAGTAAAAGATAAGACCTGTCCCTCACAATTCTGTTTAAATTTCTTGTGATGCAGAATCACAAAATACACTATTTACACATTCTCCGCTGTAACTATGTTCTATCATTTTTTCCCCTATGAACATTATCTCTATTGGAGTACGAAAACTTGCTAGATGAACACCATACAAGAAATGTTGCCATTAATACAATGAGTTTTACATACACATGCTAACTCCAACTCCCAGCGTATACAATTTTTGTCTGGCCTATTGAAAAAAATTTTCCAAACCTGTAAACCTTTCCAAACACTGTTTCAGACAGTTATTGGATAAAAACATAAAACATGTATTCCATGCGTTAAGAGAAACACGGGTAGAACAGGTTAGAATTGCAGTGAAAGGCACAGTAATAAATTTCTCAGTGTGCCTCTGTGTGGCCATAAGAGATAATATTGTATTACCATAGTTCTTTCATCTCTTTTTGGAAATTGAAAAACTTAAGACCTTCAGAGAAAATAACATAGGTGCTACCCCATTTCCTGAATTCATGTCGCTGCTATACTTCACTCATCACTCTCTTGTAACAGAAATTAAGGACACAAAAAATAATCCGCTACCACGTAAGAAAAACAAGAAAAAGATAAGAGAAGTTTAAAGTAAAAAGTTCTCCAGAAGTGTGTTTTTCCTAAAGTCTCAAGGCACCCTTCACATCACCAGAGGGCACCACCACTCACACCCAGTGCACCAAGCACAGCCTCTTGTGCTCCCTCTTCTGTGCAGCAAACAATTGTACTGTAGCAAGAGTGGCCATTTTCTCAAAATACTGTTAATAACGTTGTTACAAAGGTGACACTTCCCTTTGAACTGTTTTCCATTTGTACACGTGTTTTCCTTCTGAAGACACTGTATCTATATCACAGCCTTCCAAACTCTCGCTTTCCTGTTTTGTTGTCCCCTAAAAAGATTCTAGAAAACCAGGCAGCCTACATCTAGGGAAGCAGGTATAAGGGATCATGAAGACCACAAGGTCTTAGACACTACAAGATATCAGCAGGTAGGGTTTCTGACCTACAATGTCCTTTGCCAAAACATGAGACAATTCTGTGAGCCTGTCATTTTGAACCAGACTGACCAGCAATTAATGTCTGACCAGATGAAGATGACAGAATAAACTCACAACCATCTAGAGAGGCCTCAGCCACACTAACGCATTGCACTAATCAGTTTAAATTCAGCCTATGTTATCTGTTGTGTTAAGAGCAGGGACAGTTTATTTCCAACAAACAAGTTATAAACATGGAAAAAACATCATCTTATCTCCTGAGCTTCTCACTCTACACTCCAGAGCAACTGTCTATACAGTAACACGTGTATGCGGTCTTAAATGCAACGAATGGATTTTAAAAGCAGTATTACCAAACATTATTAGACTGTTTTTGTGGGGGTTTTGCCTTTTTTTTTTGATCACATATATATATTGCAGCTAAAGCAGACACACAGCTATCCTTAGCTTACTTCAAAGCAGACTTTCTATGTGCTAACATCTTTTTATTGATGGAAACACAACAACATCCCCCACTGTTCTCTCAAGGAGGCTACAAGGTCATTAGTTACCCCAAGAGCAGTTGCTGCCATTTGAGATCTTGATATTTCTGAAAAGTACTAATTGCCTTAGGATTACTTGCTCTACCCAATGCCAACATACCCAGCATTCACAGCAAACCTGTTTGCCTACACTGTAGAACCACCCATGCTACAGTCCAGAAGCACAAAACTCAAGCACAAAGATCAAAGGCATTCACTTACTTGCACTCCTCCACACTGGTCCCACCTATACTGGAAATAAAAATCAGGGAATTCAGGCAAGGGTGGGAGTTTGAGAAAGAGAAGGAACCCAGATCACCTGCACACAGAAAGTTTAGGGAAGGGAAAGAAAAGGGGTTCCAGATGCTGGCCCCTTTAAGTTTTTTTAAAGCTGGAATAAGGCATTTATTTGTAAATAAAATACAAGACACCACACATTACGCACTAGTGATAACATGGCTGCTGTCACAGAACGTTACTTATGGACAGATAAGGTGGAGGAACACAAGCATGCTCACCGTGCACACAGAGGTTTCATCCCCAGTCTTTACTCTGTTCCGAGCCAAAAGCTGCTCCAAGAGGCTGAGTCTGTGCAGCAGCCAGGAAAATGCCAGCAGCAGCTCCCGACTACCCGCTGAGCCGTCGGAGGGGAGCCGATAGAGTTCTGGCCTGCCATAGCCATGGTACCACAACGCTGATTTTACAAACCTAATTTGGTTATCTGAAAAGAAGAAAACAATTAAGAATAACACACTGCACTACTCAATGCATTTACCCATTCAGTTCCAGAAACTGCTGTCTCCTCTGAGAGCAAGATTTTTAATCAAGCTTAAGATTAGTGGAGGACAGTGGAGACTACAGTCTTTATAAACAACTGGTAAAGGACAGGAGGTAAAGGGTAAAAGACTTCCTTATGCTGCCCCACTCTGATCTACAGGAACTACTGCTAAGGGAGAAGAAGAAATTTAAAGTTGAGATCAAGGCCTCTTGGAGATTAACAAAGGCAAAAAAGGTAAATAGCGATCCCCACTATAACAGGAGTCCAATTCACCTATTCATTTTTTATGAGCCACCAAGCATGCTATGAATTAGTAAACACTCTGAGTCACTTTACTCCTGAATGAAACTGGAATTTAGAGATAGGAGTTTCACAGCCTGCTGCAAATCTCTGAGCACCAGTGAGCAGGCAGAGATAATGCAGTACCCCACACTGCATACTAGACCACACGGACCATTTAATTCTCAGGAATGCTCTGAACCATATTCCTTCACACCAGCAAATGTTACCTGACAGCTACAAGACAGGCACTTCAGAACTGTAAAATACTGAGGAAACACAGAGAAGATTATTATTAAAAAAGTTTCTGACCAGTAAGCCTCAGCTCTGTACTAAGTCAAAACTATAATAAAGAACATAATTAGGGGGCACAATGAGAAACAATACATACTGGGGAAGAACCAACAGTTGTTGTAAAAGGAAGTCCTGCTCAAAAAGCTACTGGAGTTCTCCAAAGGCAACAACAAGCAAGTGATTAAGGAAGACTGAACAATGCAGGACATTTGGACTTCCTAGTGGGATTCGACTAGCACAAAGAAACTAAGCCACTGCGGTGGAGGGAGAGGGAAGGTCCTTGAATCAGTGACAAGTGCTTAGCAGACAGGAACCAGAGGGTAGGAACAAATGGTGGTTTCACGTGAGGGCTCTGTGCTAAACAGTTGCTGTTCAACCAACTCAAAATGACACACAATGTGATAGTGACAGAAAATTTGGTGCTGACGTGATATTACTCAGTAGTAAGGAATGAAGGCAGATCGTGAAGGATTGCAGAACCTAATGAGTCCAAGCTTTAAAATGACAGATAAAATTATTTTTAGAAAAAATAAAAAATTATGTACACAAGGGAAAAAACAATCCTAACTTTACTGACATAGAAATGGGCTTGGAGCTGACCACTGGACTCAGGAACACAATCTTAGATGGTAAGATTTTTCATGACAATATCACACTTGGTTCTCATATGCATCCAAAAGCAAACTGAATGTGAGAAACCTAGAAAGGAAATTAAACAGAACATGTTGTTGTCTATACCCACTGTGACCCCGCATCTCAAATTCAGTGTTATTTTATTTCTTCAGTCCCAAAACAGCTACAGAAGACTTGGAAAAAAGCAAAGAAAAAGGACAAGTACGATCACAAGTACAGAACAGCTTCACTGTAAGAACTGACGACATAGGCCAAGATGATGACTGAGAGTGGATATGACAAAACTCTTTAAAACCATGAGTGCTGTGGAATGAGTGAATAGGGAATAACTTGTTTGCACGACATCCAGTATAAGAACTATGAGCCACCAAAACGAAGTTAGCAAGCATGTGAGTCAAAACAAGTTAAAGAGATGTTCTTCGCACATACAGCAAAGCTCAGAAATTTCTGGCCATGGGACACTATGGACAGTGAGAGTTACACAGGTTCAAGGAGGAACTGGATTTACGGAACAGGAGTTCCTGGAAGCTTATGAAATACAAAGATATCATCCAGTACAAGAACTGTGAGCCACCAAACGAAGTTAGCAAGCATGTGAGTCAAAACAAGTTAAAGAGATGTTCTTCGCACATACAGCAAAGCTCAAATTTCTGGCCATGGGACACTATGGACAGTGAGAGTTACACAGGTTCAAGGAGGAACTGGATTTACGGAACAGGAGTTCCTGGAAGCTTATGAAATACAAAGATATCCTCTCTGGTTTGGGAAGTCTGAGATGTAAATTACTGGAGGCTGAAAGAACACCCCCTGAAAGCATCCTTCTATATTTACCCTTTCCTTTCCCCTGGGCATCCACTTTTGACAGTAAGGAAGAAAGCTGTTCCCCTTTTTCCAGTGTAATGCTTCAGTATCTCCGTAGGGTTTCATAAAAAAGGTACACACTCACACACACACAAAAATAACAGGAAGTACAAAATACAAACCTTGCACAATCAGGAATTGTCACTGCTGTCCTTAATTAACATACCAATTCATCACATTACCACTCATTTGCCTGCTCCTTGCCACTTGTGGTAAAAACATCCCTTAGCATTGACACATATCATAATCTTTGTCTGGCATCAACTGCTGAAGCTCAAAAACCACGTAATGACCAACTTCAAAACAAAAAACAAGAAAAAAAATCCTGTTGCTCTCAAGCAATTACAAGAGACTCTCACAGTGAAGAGTGGTCGATTTAACTTGATTGGCAAAATGCTAAAGGAGTCTTATCCACCAAAAGTAATACAAAGCCAAGACACAGGGAGGAGCTATAAGCTGACCTATGCTAGTAACCCTATAGGAGCAGTACATTGCTACAGCTCTGCTGAGGCTGGAAAGAGCCGTTAGTCATAAAGAGCCACCAAGCCCCACTTTGCACCTTGAGAAACTAGAGGAAAGTATATTGTTCGCACTGTTTGACCAACTTTAGGATTTAGGGAAAAAAGAGCGCGGATCCCTAAGGAGATGCCTCCTTCCAGAGCGCTCCTCAGTCCAAACTGAACAGCTGAACAGCTGAAACTGTTATACAGATTACTACACATCTTCAGCAGTAGGAGCAGGAATACACGATTAGCCACATGAAAGCTACAAATGAATTCCTGACACAGACGTTAACCATGACTGAAGAACAAAAAACAAGATCAGGAGCATGATTAAGCAGGTGACATGATGGTGCAGAGCTACTAATTTTTTGCAGGACTAGTGTTTTGCGTAGCAGAGCTTCTGGAGAGACACATGACAGTTGGACAATTGTTTTTAAACCTAGCTTGTTTCTGCACAGCAGACACAAAAAGGAAATCCAAACACCTAAATCACTCCATTTGCTCTTTTTGCAGAACTTGTGAACGTAAAAACAAGCAGCTTCCCTTCACGATGCTAGGGTGGCAGAAATGTCTATGGTTTGCTAAAAATCTTGCTGTAGATATGCACTCCAATCCCTCATGCACAGGGGAGCACTCAGATATTAGAGATTTTATTTTGATCACTCTTGAGCATTCTCACATGAACTAGGTTTTCATGTTCCTTTTCCTTCTCTTTGTGCATTTGTAAAGAAAGGAACTGCCATAACAGGTAAAGGCAGAAATACTCCAAAAGGAAGGAAGATCAGTACATACTTTCCTCCTTTTTCAAAGCAAACAAGCATCACATGCTGCCATCTGCAGTTCAGGGAGCTCCCCAAGAAATCACATATCAAAGAGAAGGAATAGAGAGCAAGCCAGGTGGTTTTTTCCTTTATCACCATTCCCCTGCTCTGACATACCGCTCAGGACCAGATCCACCAAGGCAATTCGCCACCTGAATTTCTGTGTCGCTCTGGTCCTTTATTTCCCCCTATTTCAGCCCTCCCTCTGCAGCACATTGCCCTCACACAAGAAGATACGATTGGTGTGAGTATCAGGCAGGAATTGTGGGTGAGCGGTCAAAGCATGGATCTGGAACTGGGGCTCAAAGAGCCTTTCCATGACCTTAGAGAAGTCACTTAGTTTTCCTCATCTCTACAGTGCTCTGCTTACAAGGAAATGGTGCTCAGATAAATGGCAGTAGAGGCTGTATAAGTACCCAACAGCCAGATGGATTCCTGTACCCAAGAGGGTACAAGACCATTCCATAGTGTGCAGCCGAGAGAGAGGAAAAAACATCACTCAGATAGGAGATAACACCAGTCACTCAAACACCTCCTCTTTGACAACATCTTCTTACGGCATTTCATTAGGATCGGCCAATTTATAGAGAAAGACCCACACAGTCCTTCCAACTAATCCCTTTCTGCATGCGCATTATTTATAGAAGTACATTCAGCAAGTAAGACCAAGCTGTGGATGAACCTCAGGGTTCAGCTCTCTTAAATATCTCTAATATCAAGCTGTGCTCTTCCGCTTTATGAATCCTGCAGAATATTTTCAATGAATTACAATGTGATATTCAACTAAGGGTTATGCATTAGCCTGGCTAAGATGGAAAGGAACTAAATCAAGTATAAGAACAGACACAGATACATTACTTCATGCACTCAGGCAAGAAACACCTGCATAGGTAGTGGTATTATGGGAAACTATTGCTGCAGAAGAACATTTTCTGCTTCGTCAAACAAACAAAAATATATTGCAGCTCCAGACCTCCTTCCCATACTATAAAAAATGAATTGCAACTCCAGAAAAGAAACATTTCCTCCAACTATCCAAATGCATATTGCACCTGGTGTGGTTGTTCGGTTGTTAACCAAGTCTATCAGCTCTCAGCCTCTGTGAAGAAAGAGCAGCATGAAACCACTAATCATGACTTCATCAGTAAGGTTATGCCTGGACTACTATTACACAGCTTACTTTGACTCGTACTCCACTGACGAGAAACCCATTGTCCTGACATGTTTAAGGGGCTGGAGTGTATTAATGGCTTCCCACCATTTCCCACAAGTTTACAATAAGTGCTTTTTACTGTGTGAAGAAAAAATTCTTCCAAAATGAGAAATGAAAAGAGCCATTTGCAGAATTTTATAACCACTGCCTGGCAGACTTCAGTGGGGTTTCTGGTTTCTTTTTGCAAGAACGCAATAGTTCCTACATTTTAAAACATCAAACTGTGTGGATTTTTTTTATATGTGATTTTTCAAATTATTTTATTTTCTGCTAGCTAGGCAATAAAATACATCAACCATTTAAAAACATGATGCAGAAAGTTTTTCTAAACAATATCACATCACAGCCATTACAAGGGAATGACTAGTAGCTGTTCTATTCAAAGCAAATTTTAATCTCCTCTAATTCACCTACATGACAAGATCAGATCAAAAACTGACTAATGAAAACACTAACTTGAAACAGAAATACACACTGGGGTGCAACTTTGAAAGTCACTTGATAAAAAGAACTTCCCAGATCAAGGAAAAATTTTCAGGAAAAATCTGTCCTTTTCCATGGGCAAAATCTGTAAGAGCATTCTGTCCTTGCAACGCACTGCTTTCTTCTAGCATCTCACAGCTGCAAATGCCCAACATCTGGAATGCAGTCCTTGAAATGTAGGTCTCACTCTACAGAGTAGTGAGAAGAACAACTGACCCCAATAACAAACACAGACTACAGGCCAAAGCTCAGCATTTCCTTTGGAAAAACTTTTAGCCTAAAAAAAAAAAAGAGGGTACAAGACCATTTGAGTATGGCTTCTCTTCTCCAGAAAGCTGTTCCCGTGCCTGTCCACACAGTAACCCTCATACTTCACAGCCTTCCCCTGGGATCTGGCAACTGTTGCTCTCCTTGTTTTAGCTAAAATAATTAATAGGTTGTACAAAAACAGCAAAGAAAGGAACGTCTGATCCACGGACTAAAGCACTAGACATGGATTAGAGGAATCTGTTTCAACTCTTTGTTGTGCTACAGGATCCTATGCAAACCTGAGAAAGTTATTTAGTCCCTATGCCCAAGGCTTCCACTTCATATCCATGAAATAAATACATGAAAGACCACAAGTGCTCCAGAGCAGGGACAGAGAAGAAAGGCAGTAAAATATTGATTGTGCTCGCAGCAGACAACTCATTCACTTGGCCAAGCAAAGGTAATTAGTGTAATTTGAAAAACAGTATGGCTATCCAACCTGAGTTTCAGCTTTAATCACCAAGTTGTGACTAAACAAGTTTCTTAAAAATCAGGTCAGCAGTTCTGAGCAGAACCACACATTCCTACCTTGCAATCTACCAGCAGAGGCTGGGTTTGCTCTCTCTAGAGCCAGTAACCTGCCACACGCACATGGAAATCCTGTCTCCAAATGCTACAAGTGGTTAGTATAGGAGCAGCCAGGATTCAAGGAGGCCGCACTTGTGCAGGACCACTTCCACAAAGCTGTAGGAGACAGCCAATAAATTGACTTACCATACACAGCAGACTGTGGATGAGTAGAAAAGCAAAAACAGCCAAATGAAAAATAGCAGTCCTGTGAGCAACACAGAACCATGCTGATTTCCTGAAAAAATTTGCTCCGCACTCCTGGAGAGATACTGTCCACAATGCTTAGCCTTTTTTAACTCTGTTTACAGAGCCATCAGATTCCCAGCTCTTCAGAGGCTTAAAAAATGTTGTTTGGGTTTTTTTGCTTTCAAGGGCAAAAGTGGATTTTAAGTGGTTTTGGTCTGAGGACATCACAGACGATCCCATTCTCAAAACTTCCTCTGACAATGAAAGCGCCCTAGATAGACATCTTTCATGAGAGAAGTCTGTGGAGTGGTACCATACTTGAAATAACGTACATTTAAGAAGCAAATAATGCTCTGTCATCGTGAGAAGCCAACCTGCACTCAGCTTCTCTCTGGAGTAGTGGCCCTGTCCATAGAGATATTCATGGTCCCTCTAAAATAGTCACACACGCTTTACTTTTCGTTTTGTCTAGAACTTCAACCCAAAACACTGCCTTTATGGTTTATAACCTATAAAATCTATGGCCCTGACATAGGACTTGATAAAAAATTAACCACAGAATCACGCATCATATCTGGAATGGGGAAAGAAGGGATCAAAGGAAAAATAAATCTATTTCTGTAATTACCTCTGCAGATGCAGAGAACGCGTAAGATCATTGCAGAGATTTACCTGCAGTGAAATGTCCAAGGGAAGCAAGAACACCTAGCAGACACAAAAACATCCGTTTCCTGGACAAAGCAAGCCAAAGAGGAGTAAACCTGCCTGCACACCTGTGATGCAACAGTAAGAGTCAGTGGCATAAACTAAGGTATTCAAAATGGAGCAATGAGCCCAAGATGCTACAAAACTAGTCCCAGTAGTTCCCTGGGACAGACAGAAATCACAGTCAGACAGACTGACTAGGTTACCTGTGGCATCAGGCTCAGTCCACTTGCCTCCATGGATTTGTTTCAGAAGAGCATAGAGCAGCTTCCAGAAATCCAGGCTCTGCAAAAGAAAGAGAGGGGTGAGGGGAGATCAGCAGGCAAAAGATGTGCCACATATTTAGCCTTAATTAGGCAATTAAGCCCATACCTGAGCATCAGTTGTTACACGGAGGAGCACACCTGCATCCTGCCAACACTATCGAGTCAGGAAGGTTCATGTATTAGCTGTCGTATGAACGCTACCTACAGTAAGGTACACTCAAAAAGAGAGTCAGGCAGGTTCATGTATTAGCTGTCGTATGAACACTACCTACAGTAAGGTACACTCAAAAAGAGAAGGGCTACCAGTGCTGGCTGTACAGCAAGACCCAGCACTTCTACTTTGAGGCACGGGCATACAGGAGTGCGCCTTCCAAAGCATCTGCTCTGATATAACCACATACAGCACAACTCGCCCGTAGTCCAACAAGCACTTGAAAATGCTGAAAAGATCTGACCATCTGATAGTATTAAAAACTCACAAACAAGAGGCAGCACACAATGAGTTGGAACTGGAAATTATTTCTTGGCCACACAAAGACAGGACGCTAACAAACTGAAACAGTAATTCTTACAGTTGGAATTTCAGTCAACACTCGTAAAATGCTTAAAATATCTAACTGAGCAAGGGGAGCACCGTGTGTGTGAGACAGAGGCCTCGTAAGCATCACGCTGTAAAGCCTCGAAGCAGAAAGACCCGAGCCGGTGTACAGAGAAGGAACCTCAGGTGACACTAGAAAAGGTGTTGCAGACCACGGTGAAATATCGAGCTTTAAGTTAAAACCACCAGAAAATAAAGCCCTTCCAAGAGCAGCGAGTTTGCAGAGAGTCACACAGCGCAGCACCGGCTGGGGCCCGCACAGAAGCCTCCCCGCCCTGGCCCTGGCCCTGGCCCCGTCCC